CCCGAACTTTCTTTAGAAAGTGCGGGTATAATGAATTGACACTTACAGCAAAGCGATTTTCATTCCCCGTGACTTTAGATATATTGTAAACTTAATGGATATAAGCAATTACACTTATAACAAAGCAAAATCATCCATCCCAGGCACTTTGTTTTAAGCGTGTTTTACTGTACATTCCCGTGTTTACAAAACTTTGATCCCCTATTGTGGCCGCACCCTACCCCTGAAGGTGATGATTTGGACAAAGTTGAATCTACACTAAGTAATGAAGTTTCACAATTTTAAACTTTTCTGGCCCAGTGGTTCTTCAGAAGAAGATATTTGAAATAACATTAAATTTTCACTCATTCTTATCTCCCCTTAAAAGAAGCTTTGGCCCTTCATTTGAACAATTGTTTTACACAAAAAAAGAATATTTTGCATGAGAAATAAAACTCTTTGTGTTTCTAAATATTTCATCACACCTCTAGTGTGTTTCTTCTTATTTTAACTAAGATAATGATGATTTAATTATGACTTCAATTTTGTACAGGCCTTTGTATGATAATTCTACCCTGAGGGGTATGTTTACCTGTCTTCAACAAGTCAGGTGATTGTTCACAGTGAGTACTTTTCAAGCATAATTGATCAAGTTCATTTCTGCCTACTGAAAATACTGATCTTGAGCAAATTAAATGGAGTTCCAAGTGAAATTTGCAACAAACCACGTTAAAAGACTTCTGGCTGTGTCCTTTTGTAATTATAGATCAAAGACCAGACAGTGAGTAAACTTATTTTTTTCTGGGAGGGATAACATTCTTGCTGCAGTATGAATTATTGTAAAATCCTAAAAAGTCATGAATTAAAAAAAAATGTCTTATAATTCCACTTTAATTTTGACTCAAATAGATGTTAGAGAGAGAGATTACTCCAGGTATATAGCCCCATGCAAAATATATATATATATATCTGTGATAGCATATTCTCAGGAGACAATTTTTGAAAAGCAATTTTCCTTCATGCATTGTTTTCAGAAAACTCAAAGGTGAAAATTTAAAATTTATACCCATGTCAACATAGTGCAACTTTTATCTATATTGATAAAAATGTACATTAAAAAAAGTATGATTAAATAGCTAAATCAAAGTGTTTTGAATAGCAAAACCAAGCTATACCAGTATAGCTAATTCAACTACAGAGCTTAATCGATTTTAGGAGATTGTGCAAGACCTGTTTTTATTCTTAATCATTCTTAAATTTATATCACCATTCCTGATTCAAGGGAGAGCTGGGCATATGACCAAAAAAGTCCATGATCTATTGATTTAATAAAGACACATGTATGTTGCGGGAAGATCAGTAAATAATGATGACAAGTGGGAAACGACCGGGTTAATATTCACAAATATTAGGAGTTTTCAACATTTAAGACCATGCTGACATAACTCCTTCCCCTTTTCCCCCTTCCCAGCCCCGGGCTTGCTTATTTATACAAATTATTCATAACTTGTTTTGGTATAAAATAAATTGTGAATAATACAAAAATGGACTGACCCTAGGGGGTCCTGAATAAAATGTCAAGCAGATTATCACTAACACACTTTTGACGCAGGTCATATTGTGATCATTTCCAGTTTCAGGATGAGGATGACTTCAAGGGGTCATAACCTTTATACCATTTAATGAATAATGACTCGAGGGACAATATTATATATGGTTAAGGGGAGAGTTTTCAACCATTTTCAAGATACAATGTATATGATCATTTGAAGTTTTAGGGGTCGGGAATGACCTCTGGGGGTGGGGGGGGGTGGGTGGGGTTATGATCCTATGTATCCTATTTTGTGTGTTATGATACAAAGATGACTTAGGGGCTTTTGCTCTAATGACAGCTATTTTATTGTTTCCGGTTCCAAAGATCAAGTGGAATGACCCCAGGGACTTGCCTCATTGTATAATTTGTATAATTGTGGCATTCCAATGATCTTTGACCCTTTTCCACCTATAGGCCCCTGACCATTTTCATTTCCGATTATTTTACCCCGTTCTAGTCGCCCGTGTGGCGCAGTGGTTAGAACGTCTGCTATAGAGTCGTGGAGTAAGGAGTTGATCCTCAAGTCGCGGGTTCGAATCCACTTCGGGACTTGGGAACCAGTTCTTCGATTGAGACTGTATAAACCGAGGTCCCTAGTTGTTGGCACAGAAAGATCCCTCAATGCTTAATGGCCCTAAGTGTCGACCATATGTGATGGCGTCTCCATATGAGCGAAAAATTCTCGAGAAGGACGTTAAACAACAAACCAACCCCGTTCTATACTAAACGTTTAAAATAATATATTCATAATGTACTTACCGCCTGTTATAGGTACTGTTAACTTGATAGAATAATAAATCCATTTAAAACACACACTAAATATTAATAATCCCAGTGGTAATAATGATGTACATACACCATGTGCAAAACAATAATGATAACGGTAAAAGTAATGCTCGCAGTGTGACGTAATTCCACGCACGTGTCTAGAAATTTTCCCAAAAGGTGTACATTTGTAAAATTTATTTTATAAATACAATTTTTTTTTCATAAGTTTGTGTTAAATCTATTCTAAATATGAAAGGAAAACGGGTGAATCATGGGTGGGGGTTGATTTTTGACAAAGTTGATTGGGTCAAGATTTGGAAAGGGGTTCTCCAAGTCCTACCCAAATACTGATAAAAATTTGCACAAGTTGTCATTTTGGCATCTAATTTTTTTTTAAGTTCATCAAAAAAGCTATGCACTAAAATAATAATATTTGTTGTTTTGACAATAAATTCAAGAAGTTCCAATTATGGATAGAAAATTACCCCCCCCCTTTTTTTTACTCAAATCTTTCAAAAATTCTCTCTTTATCAGAATTTACATTATTAGGTAATATCAGACTGGTGATGAAATATTTACATGCGCGGATCTGGGGGGGGGGGGGGGTCCGGAACCTATATACGAAATCTATATACGAAAGCAACTAAAAGTGACCTTGGACCCCCCCCCCCCCGAAAACACGGACCCCTGTTAAGTTGGTACGAAAAGTTATACATATGAAGCTTAAAAAGTGAGCAGCCAATAACCCCCCTCTCCCCCCCCCCCCCCCACCCGTCACTTGACAAGCCAAAATTTTTTTTTTTTTAAACTCAAAATACTCAAATATCCTATTTCGTGGGGTGGGGTGGGGGTGGGTTCCAACTTCTTTCAGTACCCCAATTTGATATGTACACTACTACATGTACATTACCTTTATTTGACTATAATGCAACAAAAAGTGGGGGAGGAGGGTAGGGGGAAACAACCCTTTCAAGAACATTTTCAATACTAAAAAGTTATGTTTCGAAAAAAGTGGGGGTGGGGCAGGCCCCCTCTGCCCTCCCCTCCCCCCCCCCCCGATGCTACGTGCCTGCATTTAGAGGCAAACACATTAGTGCGGGTATTACTGTCTTATGACAGCATCTATTTTTTTTTTTTTTTTTGCTTCTCAGGAAATGGGGGGCTGGAAATTTTTCTGATTGAGGTGTGGACCCCCCCCCCCACCCGGAAAAATTCCTGGATCTGTGCATGTAACTGAATGTAGTGACGACAACGGGAGATAACTCTTTAGAATGTGAAATTCGTCTATTGTGGAATCGATGATCTTTGATCCTTTCTAAACTTTAACCTAACCATTTGCATTTCGGTTTATTTTACCCCAATCTATACTTAAACTTGTACTTACCGACTATCATAGGTCCTGTCAACTTCATGAAATATAATCCAATTAAAACACAAAATGAATTAATTCCTACTGATATACATGTAATGATGTGCACCATCTAAAAATAATAATGGTAAAACTAGTACTAGTAGGGTGACGCAAGCCCAGTGTGATGTAGAAATTTTCAAAAAGGTGTTCACATACATGTATAGTACAAGAACAAATTTTAAATTATCATAACAAACGATGTTTTAACATAACTTTGCCATCTAAGCCTATTTCCAAAAACAGGCAAATTGTGTGTGTGTTTGGGGGTGGGGGGGGGGGGTGACAAAATTGATTGGGTTTGGCTTTTCAAGAAGGTTTTTGCCTAACCAAATACTAAAAGTTAGCACATTTTGATGAATTCATTAAAAACGCTTTGTACTAAAGTAGTATTATTTGTTGTTGAGAAAATAAATTTAAAAAGTTCAATTATGGGCCAAAAATTTATATCCCCCTTTTATCAAAATCTATTTTACATCATTAATTAAATTCTGTTATTTCAGACTGGTAATGGATTAAGTAAAGGAAATACCTATAAGAGGCTCATAGGTCAAATGATCACCTGAGCATTTTACGCTCGATTTGACGAAACATGTACTGTGTAAATTGTAGAATTATTTTGACTTTTTCCTTGGTAAGCCCAATATGAAGGAGTGTGCATTTAGAGGCAAGCACCTTAGTGCGGGTATTACTGTCTCATGACAGCATCTAGTTTAGATTTTTTCTTGTTTACGGTGTGATAAAACAGTTAAAAAGTATATAATTCTTATTCTTAAAGACGAGAAAAATAGTTTTGAATGTAGGCATCTCCCTCATTGATCTAAAATGGCTGTTTTAGAAATCGACACAATGACATTTTCAACAATTATGATATCTTGATGTAAATGTTGGGTGTTATTATATTTGTGTAAAAAATCCATTTTAAACTACTTAGTTGTAAATTGTTTTATATTAAAATTTATACAAAAATAGGAATCATAAAGGAACATAAAAAGTGCCTATCATGTTTTTCATCCAATAGTACCAATTAAGTGTTTTTTACTGACTTTCTGGTAATAAAAGAAGACAATATCGACAAAGCTGCCACCAATAATTATCAATAATTATACGGCAATCAATTCCATACTAACATGATACTTTGTGGTCATTTCGATTCATGAGTCAAGTTTAAATTTTTAATTTACTTTTTTATTATGCTATTTTAGCACCATGAATTAAAATGTAAGACATAATTAAATATTATTTATATAGATAAGGTATGTGATAGCAATGATTGTCAGAATGGGATTTGTGTGGCAGACCAATCCACAATAAGAGGATACACGTGTTACTGTACCACTGGCTTTGTTGGGGACAATTGTCAAGGTAAATTGTTTATAACTTCATTTCAACAAGCCTCAAGCTTACTTTCGTGAACCTCAAACTTGTTCTAGTGTCAAAGATTATCGATATTATTGATATTATTATTATTATCTATTGAGCACAGCAGTCTGACTCGGAAAGGTAGTGTAAGTATTATGGATATAATATAGGATTAAACATTCTTTTTTCAGAATTCATCGATTTGTAAACTCAAGTCTTTGTACTCACAAACTGAATAAAAGTGCGAAGCACTTTTATGTAAAGTTTGTGAGTACAAAGGAATGAGTTTACACTTAAATAAATTCTGAAAAAAAGAACATATTTCTTATAATTCAAATTACGAATATTTAAAATTATTTCTCTTTGAAGCCTCAATACAATCCGTTATTTTCGTACAGCGTATGGATACTTTATGCAGCAATGTATAAATGAAACGTAATGGAGATGAATGTCGATAAAATGCCACTCAAATTTTCCAAACAGTCAATAAAATAAACTTATAAAAACTCCTCGAATATTGTTTAAGTCAACAGATATCGTAAATACAAGTCTACCTCAGAATAATTCGTCCTTGACCATGTTGACATGACGACAACGCTCTAAAACGAAAGCAGCAGACCGACGACACCCTTCTTTGAAATCCTGCAATAAAAATCTTTCCAGTGAACAAAAACTCATATTTCCAGAATGGTACTCCTTCAAGCCATATTTTTTCCTGATTTATCACAGTCATATAATCAACTAATATTTCAGCCATTTTCAAAACTTTTTGAAGACATTGAATTTTTAGGGCATAATAAAGTCAGAACTGTACATTCTTCTTTATTGAATAACGTTGTCTATTTCTTAAAGAATTTAGGTAACCAACATGTCATTGCACAGCTCATTAATGTCTTACCGGTACTTCTAAAATAGAATTATATTTGCTTTAACAATGGCCATTTTTTGTATCGTGATAATAAAACATTAAAAAAGAATACATATGGAGTTGCATTTTCGAGAGCAGGCGCATATACCGAAGCAGAGTTCCGGACTCCTTTGATGAAATACTTTCACTGTGTTTAATTTTCTACTAATTTTCCCCCCACATAAAATAAGATGGTAAGTTGAGAATGATTTCATAAAATCATTATAAAAAGATTCTTCTCTGATTTGCCATGCGTAAGTCACGTGATTTTTTAAGCTACGAAAGGTGCTTTCCAATTATCCGACATCCTTTACATTTTACTTGTTTTACGGTGTGATAAAAGAGTTAAAAAGTACATCATTCTTATTCTTAAAGACGAGAAAAATAGTTTTAGATGAGGGCATCTCCGTCATTGCTCTAAAATGGCTGTTCTAGAAGTCAACACAATGATATTTTCTTCAATAATCATTTCTTAATGTAAATATTGTGTACCATACTATTTGTGGAAAAAATCCATTTAAAACTACTAAGTTGTAAATTGTTTTATATTAAATTGTATGCAAAAATAGCAATCTTAAAGGACAATAGAAAAGTGCCTATCATGTTTCGATCAAGCAGAACCAATTTAGTCGAAGCGTGTTGTTTTCCTGACTTTGTGGAAATAAAAAAAGACAATATGGACAAAACTGCCACCAATAATTATCAAAAATTATATGAGAATCGATTTCATGCTGAAATGAAACTTCATTTCGATTCATAAATCAAGTTAAATTTTTTAATTAATTTTTTTTTCACCAGATAACAAGTCATAATTCAAATCTCCAATGAACAAGAATTTGTCAAATTTGATTGATATTTCGCCATAACTTTTCACAAATTCATGAGAAAATTCACTATCAGACATAGAGGGGGTCGATATAGACCGACTATTAACCATTTTCTAATTCCAATCAAACCTTCAGTACATAGAGATTCAATATTTTAATCAAACTTATTCTAGTGTAAATTAAAGATTATCGATACCGTTACATTATTATTATCTATTGAGCACAGCAGTCTGACTCAGAAAGGTAGTGTAAGTATATTATGGATTTAATAATTGTTGAAAACATGTGCAGGATATAAATATACTCAGAACCTACTAGCGCTCACCATGGAAAATAACGGAAGAGCAGTTATTTATAAAGCAAAATTTACTAAATATCGTTTTCTATTTCTTAAATAATCTATGTAACCAATTTTTCATTGCACAGTTCATAAATGTCTTAGTTGTAAAATAGAGTTGTATTTACTTTAAAATTGGTCTTTTTTTTTTATCGGGATAATACAACAGTAAAAAAATAATACCGAGGGAGTTGCAGTTTCAAGAGCAGGCTCATTTACCGAAGCAACCTTTGGAATATTCCAGACTCCTTCGATAATATACTTTCACTGTGTTTAATTTTCTACTGATTTTCCCCATATGAAATAAAATAGTAATATGAGAATGATTTCTTAGAAATCGTTGTAAATAGATTCTCCTCTGATTTGCCATAAGTTAGTCACCTGATCTTTTCTATGCTATGAAAGGTGCTTACGAATTATCCGATATCTTTTAGATTTTTTTTTTTGGTTACGGTGTGATAAAACAGTTAAAAATTATATCATTCTTATTCTTAAAGACGAAAAAAATAGTTTTGAATGTAGGCATCTCCCTCATTGATCTAAAATGGCTGTTTTAGAAATCGACACAATGACATTTTCAACAATTATGATATCTTGATGTGAATGTTTTGTGTTATTATATTTGTGTAAAAAATCCATTTAAAACTACTTAGTTGTAAATTGTTTTATATTAAAATTTATACAAAAATAGGAATCTTAAAGGAACACAAAAAGTGCCTATGATGTTTTTGATCCAATAATTCCAATTTAGTGTTGTTTTACTGACTTTGTGGTAATAAAAAAAAGACAATATGGACAAAGCTGCCACCAATAATTATCAAAAATTATGTGAGAATCAATTCCATGCTGAAATCATACTTTGTCGTCGTTTCGATATATAAATCAAGTTGAAATTTGTAATTTAGTTTTTATTATGCTATTTTAGCGCCATGAATAAAAATGTAAGACATAATTAAATATTATTCATATAGATAAGGTATGTGATAGCAATGTTTGTCAGAATGGGATTTGTGTGGCAGACCAATCCAGAATAAGAGGATACACGTGTAACTGTACCACTGACTTTGTCGGGGACAATTGTCAAGGTAAATTGACTATACTGTATAGCAGGTTAAAATCGCGGTCGGAGAAGATCGCGATTTGTTTAACTTGCAGCAAATCGCGGTCGTTTGAATTCGTGGAAATGAAAAATTATACAAAAACTTTTTCCGCACTGCAATAATTTTCCTTGCATATTGTGTCGATTCTGAACCCGATTATATAGATTGAAACACTGTACTGATCCCGATTGGAAGACAAAATGTTGTACGATTTACACTGTTATGCATTCATATAAATTTTCTTCTTTCTTTTTCTTGTTTTCTTTCTTTCTTTTTGTTAAATATTTTTGAAATACATATGAGTCTATACGCGAGTGTTTTATTTAAGTGATTTCCAGTCGTATCCCAAACAATGGCAAACATGTATATATATATATATATATATATATATATATATATATATATATATATATATATATATATATATATATATATATATATATATATATATATATATATATATATATATATATATATATATATATATATATAAAGAAGAAGCCCTTTGGCAGGTGTTCGTTCATGCATAGGTATGTTTTGAGTAGAGTACTGAGTAGTATTTACTGCAGATCTTTTTAATCCCTCTGAATCTAAATCAGTTGTCAGTACCGATAGTCAAAATGTTGAACTGTTAATAAAATTGAATTAATGTGTAACAGTGTTGTCTTTACTACGTAAGTGCCTTCATTAAAGATAATAAGACTGAGTGATATGCATAGGTGAATTCTAACAATACATGTTTTATAGATAATTACATGGCGCCTCTACTGGGTGGCAGAATTAAATGTTAGTTTTAGATGTTTATTTATCAATTAAGTTTTTAAAAAACAACAACTACTTGTTAGTGATTGATCCGTACACCCTCATAATAAGGAAGACAGTCTACATCTCTGCTATATTAATGACTGCTTTTTATGTTTACAAGGAAACGTAAACAGAGTTATCGAATCTAATCACAAATATCGGTAATATTTCAATTTATCCTTATCAATTTTTGAAGAATTATTCACTGTACGTTGAATTCGTGGAATTTTTATTTCCGCGAATATAGCGAATATTATCTCCGCGAGTTAATTTCCTGCTGTACAGTAACTTTCATTGCAACAAGCCTCAAGCTTACTTTCATGAACCTCAAACTTATTCTAGTGTAAATTAAAGATTATCGATACTGTTACATTATTATTATCTATTGACCACAGCAGTCTGACTCAGAAAGGTAGTGTAAGTATATTATGGATTTAATAATTGTTGAAAACAAGTGCAGGATATAAATATACTCAGAAGCTACTAGCGCTCATCATGGAAAATGGCGGAAGAGCAGTTGTTATTTATAACGCAAAATTTACTGAATACCGTTTTCTATTTCTTAAATAATCTAGGTAACCAATATTTCATTGCACAGTTCATAAATGTCTTAGTTGTAAAATAGAGTTGCATTTACTTTGAAATTGGTCATTTTTTTTTATCGGGATAATACAACAGTAAAAAAATAATACCGAGGGAGTTGCAGTTTCAAGAGCAGGCTCATTTACCGAAGCAACCTTTGGAATATTCCAGACTCCTTCGATAATATACTTTAACCGTGTTTAATTTTCTACTGATTTTCCCCATATAAAATAAGATGGTAATATGAGAATGATTTCTTAGAAATCGTTGTAAATAGATTCTCCTCTGATTTGCCATAAGTTAGTCACGTGATCTTTTCTATGCTATGAAAGGTGCTTCCGAATTATCCGATATCTTTTAGATTTTTTTTTTTGGTTACGGTGTGATAAAACAGTTAAAAATTATATCATTCTTATTCTTAAAGACGAGAAAAATAGTTTTGAATGTAGGCATCTCCCTCATTGATCTAAAATGGCTGTTTTAGAAATCGACACAATGACATTTTCAACAATTATGATATCTTGATGTGAATGTTTTGTGTTATTATATTTGTGTAAAAAATCCACTTAAAACTACTTAGTTGTAAATTGTTTTATATTAAAATTTATACAAAAATAGGAATCTTAAAGGAATACAAAAAGTGCCTATGATGTTTTTGATCCAATAATTCCAATTTAGTGTTGTTTTACTGACTTTGTGGTAATAAAAAAAAGACAATATGGACAAAGCTGCCACCAATAATTATCAAAAATTATGTGAGAATCAATTCCATGCTGAAATCATACTTTGTCGTCGTTTCGATATATAAATCAAGTTGAAATTTGTAATTTAGTTTTTATTATGCTATTTTAGGACCATGAATAAAAATGTAAGACATAATTAAATATTATTCATATAGATAAGGTATGTGATAGCAATGATTGTCAGAATGGGATTTGTGTGGCAGACCAATCCAGAATAAGAGGATACACGTGTAACTGTACCACTGGCTATGTCGGGGACAATTGTCAAGGTAAATTGTCTATAACTTTCATTGCAACAAGCCTCAAGCTTACTTTCATGAACCGCAAACTTATTCTAGTGTAAATTAAAGATTATCGATACTGTTACATTATTATTATCTATTGACCACAGCAGTCTGACTCAGAAAGGTAGTGTAAGTATTATGGATTTAATATAGGATTAAGCAGAATTTTCAGAATTGATCGATGTGTAAACTCATGTCTTGTACTCACAAACTGAATAAAACTGCGAAGCACTTTTACTGTGGAATTATCATTGTTCGTGGGGGATCAATGTTCGTGAATTTCGTGGGTCACCCTTACCCACGAATTTACATCCCCAGGAACATTTTTTGTCATTTACTGATTAATTAAATCTACCAAATAAACGAGCTGCCCACGAAAATACATCCCCACGAACCAAGAAAATTTTGCTTGCCCACGAACATTGACCCCCACGAATCTAAATGATTCCACAGTATGTAAAGTTTGTGAGTAGAAAGGCATGAGTTTACACTTCGATAAATACTGAAAAAAGAACATATTTATTATAATTCAAATTACGAATATTTAAAATTATTTTTCTTTGAAGCCTCAATACAATCCGTTATTTTCGTACAGAGTATGAAAACTTTATTCGGCAATGTGTAAATGAAACGTAATGGAGATGAATGTCGATAAAATTCAACTCAAATTTTCAATGAAATAAACATAAAAACTCCTCGAATATTGTTTAAGTCAACAGATATCGTAAATACAAGTATAGCTCAGAATAATTCGTCCTTGACCATGTTGACATGACGACAACGCTCTAAAACGAAAGCAGCAGACCGACGACACCCTTCTTTGAAATCCTACAATAAAAATATCTCCAGTGAGCAAAAACTTATATTTCCAGAATGGTACTCCTTCATGCCATATTCTTTCCTTATTTATCACAGTCATATACTCAACTAATATTTCAGCCAGTTTCAAAACTTTTTGAAGACATTGAATTTTTAGGGCATAATAAAGTCAAAACTGTACCTTCTTCTTTATTGAATAACGTTGTTTATGTCTTATAGAATTTAGGTAACCAATATGTCATTGCACAGCTCATTAATGTCTTACCGGTACTTCTAAAATAGAATTACATTTACTTTAACAATGGCCATTTTTTTGTATCGTGATAAGAAAACATTAAAAAGAATACATAAGGAGTTGCAGTTTCAAGAGCTGGCGCATATACCGAAGCAGAGTTCCGGACTCCTTTGATGATATACTTTCACTGTGTTTAATTTTCTACTGATTTTTCCCCACATAAAATAAGATGGTAAGTTGAGAATGATTTCTTAGAAATCATGATTGTAAATAGATATTTCTCTGATTTGCCATGCGTAAGTCACGTGATCTTTTAAGCTACGAAAGGTGCTTTCCAATTATCCGACATCCTTCACATTTTACTTGTGTTACGATGTGATAAAAGAGTTAAAAAGTATATCAATCTTATTCTTAAAGACTAGAAAAATAGTTTTAGATGAGGGGATCTCCTTCAATGCTCTAAAATGGCTGTTCCAGAAATCGACACAATGATATTTTCTTCAATTATGATTTCTTAATGTAAATATTGTGTACCATACTATTTGTGGAAAAAATCCATTTAAAACTACTAAGTTGTCAATTGTTTTATATTAAATTGTATATAAAAATAGCAATCTTAAAGGACAATAGAAAAGTGCCTATCATGTTTCGATCAAACAGAACCAATTTAGTCGAAGCGTGTTGTTTTCCTGACTTTGTGGAAATAAAAAAAGACAATATGGACAAAACTGCCACCAATAATTATCAAAAATTATATGAGAATCGATTTCATGCTGAAATGAAACTTCATTTCGATTCATAAATCAAGTAATTTTTAATTAATTTTTAATGGCGTACTTTGATCACCAGATAACAAGTCATAATTTAAATCTCCAATGAACAAGAATTTGTCAAATTTGATTGATATTTCGCCATAACTTTTCACAAATTCATGAGAAAATTCACTGTCAGACGTAAAGGGGGTCGATATAGACCGACTATTAACCATTCTCTAATTCCAATCACACCTTCAGTACATAGAGATTCAATATATTCAAATTTAAGATCACTCCTTCCGTCACCAGCTATGTCTGATCTAACAATCCTTGCCAAACCCCCTCCGTACTTATTCCTGTCTTTTCTCCAAAAATGGTTATTATCTGCTTTAAATTGTACGTCTGAGAATGAATCACCCAGTTTAGTTTTAGCAATAACTAGCATGTCAACAATGTTTTGATCGAGTGGACTTTCGATTGAACCGAATTTATAACGTAAGCTGTTGATGTTTAAATAAGCACATATTTATTTGGATGTGTTTTCCTTACTTGAAACAACTCTTCGAGAATGTCATCGTTTTTCTCTGCCTTAGTATTTACGCCAGATATTGATCCAACGCAAGAGCAATGACTGTTATCAGCATGGTTGCTACAGCTAAATACACCAATCGGCTTCATATCCCTATATGTAAAGTCATCGGAATCGAGATAATGATGAAAATATATTTGATAATAATGCATGGAGGACAAACCCAAAATGAATGATCGAGTTCAATTTGAGCATTCCCAATGACATTTTCTTCAATCATGATTTCTTTATGTAATTAATGAGTACTATAATATTTGTGCAAAAAATTCAATTAAAACTGCTTAGTTGTAAATGGTTTTGTATGAATTTAAAAAAAAAATAGCCGTCTTAAAGGAAAATAAAAAAGTGTCTATCTTGTTTTTGATACAACAGTACCAATTAAGTCAAAGTGTGTTGTTTCACACTTTGTCTTTAAACAAAAATGGACAAAGCTGCCACCAATAATCATCAAAAATTATGTGAGAATCAATTCCATGCTGAAATCATACTTTGTCGTCGTTTCGATATATAAATCAAGTTGAAATTTTTGATTTACTTTTTTTATTATGCTATTTTAGCACCATGAATAAAAATGTAAGACGTAACTAAATATTATTCATATAGATAAGGTATGTGATAGCAATGATTGTCAGAATGGGATTTGTGTGGCAGACCAATCCAGAATAAGAGGATACACGTGTAACTGTACCACTGGCTATGTCGGGGACAATTGTCAAGGTAAATTGTCTATAACATTTATTGCAACAAGCCTGAAGCTTACTTTCATGAACCTCAAACTTATTCTAGTGTAAATTAAAGATTATCGATACCGCTACATTATTATTAGTTATTATATATTTGTTATATAATACAGGATTTTTGCATTCCTGATATGAACACAGGCACGCGGCCTTTAATACACACCCTGTATCAGCACCCTTTATTTCACCATTTATCACACCCTGTAATACACCTTTCCGGAACATCTTTGTATTTTTCATTCGGAGTATTTCGGATCTTTTCCGCTTTGGAGCAGACGATAGTTAAGTAAACAATGGACAAACGAACACCAAGAGAGATTGAAATGGGGGACAGAGTTTTAGAATCGTTAGCAAGGAGAATTGGGGAACTAGATGAACTGATAGAATCAGAAAATTCAACAGAGAACTTTGTCATGAATATGCGGAACCCAAATACAGTACGGAAAACATCCACAGACGTAAACAAGATCCTAACCTGGTTACGAAGCAAAAATGAAAATCGAGACATTTGCGATATTACTGCGGCGGAGTTAAATACCTATTTGGCCCAATTTTTTATGACAGCCACCAAGCAGAATGGCGAACAATATGAGCCTGATACTTTGAAATCCATCCAGTGTAGCATCAATCGTTTTTTAGCAGAGAAGGGTTCTAATCTAAACATCATCGAAGACAGAGAGTTTAAACATTCCCGGGATGTTCTACTATCGAAAAGGAAACTACCGCAACAACAAGGAAAAGGGAACAAGGAGAGAAGAGCAGATCCTCTAACTCAGAATGAAATAGACATCCTGTATTCCAACAGTTTTCTTGGTGGAGGTATGTAACTTTTTTTCTGTTAGTCTTTTCTATTTTTAGAATAGGAAAAACTTTCAAGAAACATAACTCATGTATTTTGTTTCATAGCGAACCCGAAAGCCTTGAGCAATACGGTGTATCTTAACAATTCAATGTACTTTGGAATGCGGTCCAGAACAGAACACGTCAATCTTAGATGGGGAGACATTAAATTAAAGGAAACATCGACAGGTGAAAAGTTCTTAGAGCTTTCTGAAAGAGCAACAAAAACCCGCACAGGAGTGACTGGTGAAACAAGAGCATTTATACCAAAAATGTTTGAAGACAAAGGTAGGCCTCTATTTTGCATGTCTTATTCTGATTTTTTATATACTTGTAAATGATGAATTAGTAGTAAGAACTGAACATTGAAATCAATTTTTAAGGTAATCCAAGATGCCCAGTGGAGATGTATTTATTGTACAAGAGAAAAAGGCCCGACAAAATGCTAGCTGAAGATTCACCTTTCTACATTGGCATAAATAGGAAACCGACTGGGGATTCGTGGTATGTGTCACAACCCATGGGTAAAAACACTCTAGGAAACATAATAAAGTTGATGTGTGAGGAAGCTGGTATACAAGGCCGAAAGGTAAATCACAGCGTAAGGAAAACCGCTATTACAACACTTGTACACGCAGGGATTCCGCCAACTCTAGTGCAGCAACATTCTGGCCATAAAAATATTGCCTCAATAAACAACTACAGCACTGCATCTATCAACCAACAAAAAGGTATGTCAGATCTACTGAGCAACTTTTCCAAGGGAAAAACAACGGATGCAGCAGAGGAAATGAGCGATGATCTTGGTGGGCTTGAAAATGTTCTCCAAGAAATTGGGAACTATGAATTCAATAATGATATTATTAACAATATGTCTGCAAATGCATCAGTTCCATTTCCCCAGCTTAAAGGCTTATTCACCAGTTCCACCATTAATGGAAATGTAACAATTAATTTCTGTAAAGAGTAAACTGAAAACAAAGAAACTTCACAGAGAAGAGTTGAAGCAATGTCCTGTCTTACTGTTAATGTTGTTAATCTAATTTTTACTTCATTAAATATGTTGTATCATTCAACATTATGTAGTTATTATTACTTTAATTTTTATTGGCCATTAAACTTAGAAATATTTTAAAAACAGATATACAACAAAAACTGATAAGAAATGCATATCTATTTTAATTATGGGCAAATTTGGAAATTTTCAAATATATAATAAAAACAACAATACATGACAAAATCTGTATCACATCCCATATCAACCCTCGACCAATATCAGCCCTCTGGCCTTCGGCCCTCGGGCTGATATTGGAGTCTCGGGTTGATATGGGGTGTGATACAGATTTTGCCATGTATTATTCTCTATCTATTGACCACAGCAGTCTGACTCAGAAAGGTAGTGTAAGTATATTATGGATTTAATAATTGTTGAAAACAAGTGCAGGATATAAATATACTCTGAAGCTACTAGCGCTCATCATGGAAAATGGCGGAAGAGCAGTTGTTATTTATAACGCAAAATTTACTGAATATCGTTTTATATTTCTTAAATAATCTAGGTAACCAATATTTCATTGCACAGTTCATCAATGTCTTAGTTGTAAAATAGCATTGCATTTACTTTAAAATTGGTCTTTTTTTTGTTGGGATAATAAAACAGTAAAAAAAAAAATACCGAGGGAGTTGCAGTTTCAAGAGCAGGCTCATCTACCGAAGCAAACTTTGGAATATTCCAGACTCCTTTTATAATATACTTTCACTGTGTTTAATTTTCTACTGATTTTCCCCATATAAAATAAGATGGTAATATGAGAATGATTTCTTAGAAATCGTTGTAAATAGATTCTCCTCTGATTTGCCATAAGTTAGTCACGTGATCTTTTCTATGCTATGAAAGGTGCTTCCGAATTATCCGATATCTTTTAGATTTTTTTTTTTTGGTTACAATGTGATAAAACAGTTAAAAATTATATCATTCTTATTCTTAAAGACGAAAAAAATAGTTTTGAATGTAGGCATCTCCCTCATTGATCTAAAATGGCTGTTTAAGAAATCGACACAATGACATTTTCAACAATTATGATATCTTGATGTGAATGTTTTGTGTTATTATATTTGTGTAAAAAATCCATCTAAAACTACTTAGTTGTAAATTGTTTTATATTAAAATTTATACAAAAATAGGAATCTTAAAGGAACATAAAAAGTGCCTATCATGTTTTTGATCCAATAGTACCAATTTAGTGTTGTTTTACTGACTTTGTGGTAATAAAAAAAGACAATATGGACAAAGCTGCCACCAATAATTATCAAAAATTATACGACAATCAATTCCATATTGACATGATTCTTTGTCGCCATTTCGATTCATAAGTCAAGTTTAAATTTTTGATATACTTTTTTATTATGCCTTTTTAGCAGCATGAATAAAATTGAAAGACATAATTAAATATTATTCATATAGATAAGGTATGTGATAGCAATGATTGTCAGAATGGGATTTGTGTGGCAGACCAATCCAGAATAAGAGGATACACGTGTAACTGTACCGCTGGCTTTGTTGGGGACAATTGTCAAGGTAAATTGTTTATAACTTCATTTCAACAAGCTTCAAGCTTACTTTCGTGAACCTCAAACTTGTTCTAGTGTCAAAGATTATCGATATTATTAATAATATTATTATCTATTGACCAAAGTAGTCTGACTCGGAAGGGTAGTGTAGGTATTATGGATTTAATATAGGATTAATCTTTTTTTTTTCAGAATTTATCGAAGTGTAACCTCATGTCTTTGTACTCACAAACTGAATAAAACTGCAAAGCACTTTTACTAGTATGTAAAGTTTGTGAGTACAAAGGCGTGAGTTTACACTTCGATAAATTCTGAAAAAAGAACATATTTATTATAATTCAAATTACGAATATTTAAAATTATTTCTCTTTGATGCCTCAATTCAATCCGTTATTTTCGTACAGCGTATGAATACTTTATGTGGCAATGTATAAATGAAACGTAATGGAGATGAATGTCGATAAAATTCCACTCAAATTTTCTAAACAATCAATGATATAAACTTATAAAAACTCCTCGAATATTGTTTAAGTCAACAGATATCGTAAATACAAGTCTACCTCAGAATAATTCGTCCTTGACCATGTTGACATGACGACAACGCTCTAAAACGAAAGCAGCAGACCGACGACACCCTTCTTTGAAATCCTGCAATAAAAATCTTTCCAGTGAACAAAAACTCATATTTCCAGAATGGTACTCCTTCAAGCCATATTCTTTCCTGATTTATCACAGTCATATAATCAACTAATATTTCAGCCAGTTTCAAAACTTTTTGAAGACATTGAATTTTTAGGGCATAATAAAGTCAAAACTGTACATTCTTCTTTATTGAATAACGTTGTCTATGTCTTAAAGAATTTGGGTAACCAACATGTCATTGCACAGCTCATTAATGTCTTACCGGTACTTCTAAAATAGAGTTACATTTACTTTAACAATGGCCATTTTTGTATCGTGATAATAAAACATCGCAACTGAGTTAAGGCTAAGTATAGACTTTTCTATGCAAATGAACTAATTAAAACGCATAAGGGCTATACTTATTATATAGAAAAGGTTAAAACTTATTTTCTAATACAAACTTGGTACCCGAGACAAGTGAAAGCCAGTACACATTATGACGTCATATTATGACGTCATTGCTCTCTACTACACAAAGTTATAAAGAACATCAACAAAAAAGCTTCGGCGCATGGATATACCCTATTTATTTTTACAGATACAGGGTCTAATTAGAAGCATAATATTCCAAGGATTTGTGATATTGATGCACAAATATTGACAGATCAGATGGTTAGTTACAATTTGTAAAGTTTTGAGTTGAAACGGGGTAAAAATTCACAGTCCGGTATAAGTTTCCACAAATTCTTATGAAACGAGAGAGTGCATAGGATTTGTGCAGCACTTTTATTAATCTTTAGAATATTCTTCGTAGAATTATACATTATTTACTTAAAATTAAATAGGGTATGCCCTTGCGCCAAAGCTGTTTCTTGATTTGTTTTATTACTTTGAGCCCTAAAGAACAATGACGTCATAATATGACGTCATAATGTGCACTAGCTATAACATGCCTTGGGAACTAAGTATGTATAAGAAAATGAATTAAAGTTTTCTCTGTATGATAAATATACCTTTTTGCATTTTTATTAGCTCATTTTCATAGAAACGCCTCTACCTAGCCTTAACTCACTTGCGATTTTAAAAGAATACTGAGGGAGCTGTAGTTTCAAGAGCAGGCGCATATACCGAAGCAGAGTTCCGGACTCCTTTGATGATATACTTTCACTGTGTTTAATTTTCTACTGATTTTTCCCCACATAAAATAAGATGGTAAGTTGAGAATGATTTCTTAGAAGTCATTGTAAATAGATTCTTGTCTGATTTGCCATGCGTAAGTCACGTGATTTTTTTAAGCTACGAAAGGTGCTTTCCAATTATCCGACATCCTTTACATTTTACCTGTGTTACGGTGTGATAAAACAGTTAAAAAGCATATCAATCTTATTCTTAAAGACGAGAAAAAAAGTTTTGAATGTAGGCAACCCCCTCAATGCTCTTCGATGGCTGTTCCAGAAATCGAGACAATGACATTTTCATTAATTATGAATTCTTTATATAAAATCCATTTAAAACTATTAAGTTGTAAATTGTTTATTATTAAATTTTATACAAAAATAGGAATTTTAAAAGAAAATAAAAAAAGTGCCTGTTTTTGATCCAACAGTACCAACTTAGTCTAAGCCTGATGTTTTCTTGACAATATGGACAAACCTGCCTCCAATAATTATCAATAATTATATGACAGTCAACTCCATGCTGAAATGAAACTTTTTCGTCAATTCAATTCATAAATCAAGTTGAAATTTTTAATTTACATTTCTATTATGCTATTTTAGCTCGATGAGTTAAAATTTAAATAACAATTTATGTATTTATTCATATAGATGATGTATGTGATAGCAATGATTGTCAGAATGGGATTTGTGTGGCAGACCAATCCAGAATAAGAGGATACATGTGTAACTGTACCACTGGCTTTGTCGGGGACAATTGTCAAGGTAAATTGTCTATAACTTTGATGGCAACAAGCCTCAAGCTTATTTTCATGAACTTCAACCTTTGATGTATATGTATAATTGACTGTATCATTATTAGGGATGTAAATTTTACGTTGACATCCTTTTGATTTTTATGCCGATAATTACGTGTATGTCAAACAAAATTGATTTCATATGTTTGCTTTTATATTAGTCAAGATATGTGTACATGTAAGCCATGATTGTAGGAATCGAGGATCATGTGAAGCAGACTAGTCTAAAATACGAGGTTACACATTTAACTGTGTCACTCCTATATCTGGAGACAATTGTGAAGCTAAAATTTCGATAAAAGTTAAAAAAAATCTCAAAGTTTTTTTTTCCTTACGTAGTTTTCGTCATATCAATGATATACAAATCAAGTTGTTTTTTTTTTTTTTCACTTATAAACGATTTAGTTTGATAAGTAATTTTGATAAGCAAAATGACTACCCATTTATACTTGCTGTTGTAGTAATGTAAATTGCAGATTTTATGATTTTGACACCCATGGATTCTTGATTATGAAATATATGTAGATTGCATACACAAAGCAATAACAAAACCAATTGAAATAATATAAATTGGTTGCAATGCAAACAAGGACCTATAGAAATATCAGAGTTGGGAAAAGTGTCCAATATCATTGTATATTTCGTAAATACACTTTTTCAAACAATTTACTTGAACATTTATCTGAAAAATTAATAATGTTTTGAAATTTGACTAGATATGTTAATGCATGTGTATTATTTTTAAAATTACAACAGTTTATCATTTTTTTCGGAGTAAACATCAATCATTTCAATAATAATAATAACTAGAAACTCATTGCGAGCAATGAGAGGTCTTCCGTCCGATTCTGAAAAAAAAAAAAAAAGAAAACTCAAACTGAAAAGTGATAAAAGAAATTCAGACACTCTGAAGATTTAACCCTGGTCGTCAGCCTGAAAATCCAACGTGCTAACCATTAACCATTCCCTTCTTTGCATCACTTCCTGTCACGATCGGAAGTAACGGCGATACAAGATTTTGTCACGATTCAAATAAACTGATGACTGACTATCAGTCCTGAAAGTTTTAGACTTCAGTCGTTTACTGTTGCCGAGCAATAGACCGGAAGTTGACGATTATTTCCGGTGGAATCTAGCATATTTTAAAACAGAGAAAGAGATGCAATAAAGTGATGCAAGTTTTAGTTTAAAAAAGAAAGAAGAGAAATAATATGAGCGCATCCTCTGATCTAAAAAAATAAAACAGGTTTTGTAATCCTCAGAAATACTTCTATCATTTAATAGTTGCATATTTAAGATTAGAGGTTACGTCCTATATCAAATATCGAAAAATAGCTTTAAAAATTGGCTGTTTTGTAGAAATTGTCAGGATACGAGGAAAATGACGCATTTCATGACGTCTTAATGCATAGGCTAGCCAGAAAATTACGTCATTTTTGATAGATACGCAGTCATCAAAGGTCTAAATGATATTCAATGCATCGTCAAATAAAACCAAGCAGTTTCAGTTTTTCTGAAATTCACAGGGCCAAAAAAGGCCCTAAGTGAACCTTGTTCTTTAATATTGAAACCACTACACTAGCGCAATGTACCAGCCATCATCGATGTTTACCTTGCACTCATTCCCTGAAGTAACGAGTGTCAATTAATTTTTTTTTTCTTATAGTGCGGAATTATAGGATGAAAACTAGCCAGTTAAATTTTGTGCAAGTGCTAGTAGATTTACATTGGATTTGTTACTTGAGTATTAACAACGCAGGTATGTTAAGGCAGTACCCATATCATATTTCGGCGAATTTAGACTTTTTTCGTAAAATGTAACATTGATAAATCGGAAAAGTCATAGATAAAACATTTACTATTATTATCCCTTGGATAGACGTCATTGAGTCTTCGGCTAAAAGAAGCACTCCACTACGACGTCATCACGTGACGTCTATAAATAGAAAAATTGCCTTAATGAAAAAGTGAAAAGTTAACACTACCCCGGAGCTAATTCATTTCTTTTAGTGAAAATATTTATGTAAAAACATCACTGGGCCATGAAAAGTGCTGCTAGAATCCTACTCTCCCGACACAGAAAAAAATATTCCAAAGTTTCACATGAAACCTTACCAAAATTTTTACATTTTATACATACGATCAAGGAATTGTTACCAATTCATGTTAACCACACGATTCTAGCAGCACTTTCCAAGTACTATAGAATACAAGCTTTCGATACAAACAAAAAAATTGTTTCAAAGTATGCGGCGTAGTGTTGAACTTTTGCATCTTTGTTGTTATAGAACGACAGAGGAAAGGCTGATCGGGCTTTCAAGGCACTGCCTGTGTTCATTATAAGAAAACATGATAAGAATATATTAGCGTACCTGATTCTTAATCTTTAATTCCTTATGAATCACACATAACATTCGCGGTATATGCTTTAAAACTCCCATTTCATCTATTTGTTTACATGAATTCTCGTCACGTTTAATTTCATTCGGCAAATATTTGATCAATAGTTATGACGTCATGGGTTTGGTATTTAACCCCCGTGCTAAATACTTTGCTATTTATACCACCCAAAAACGACAAGATTTAGTTTATATTATGTTTTTAATGATCCCATTCATTTCTTTGACCTGAAATTAAACTTTAAATATAGATATTAGGAAATCATTATTTCTAAAGTTCACGTCATACAGCTTACTATGACGTCATATTATAAAGGCAAGTGGGATATCTCTGGGTGTAGCCTTAACATACCCGCGAATAGCTGATAGCAGAGAAAATAATCTGTTACTGATAAAAACTGAAAAAAAAGTATTGTGTTTACTCCCTTTATTCTTTAAGCATTCAGCTTTCTGTTCTATGCAATTCGAAATACAGACATGCCCGTGTAATCTTTTTCTGTACTTCTACACTACTGCATCAGACCATTTGTGAAAGGCGGGTCAAGATACATTATTTCGCGCCAAACGTCACGAGTAAATCTTCGCACCTTTTCTTTGAAATGTGTATTCAATTGAATAAGTGTACGTGATAGCTTCAATGAAATTTTTAAAAAAAATATGTTGCTATAGCTTGATTTTCAAGCCTAAGAATGTTTATTTATCACACTGTACATATAACATATCGTATACGGGCAAGTAACATAAAGGCAGCGCTAAGTTTTCTTACACATTTATATTCCTCTTAACCTCCAAAGTGGACTATTCCAATTAGTAACACATTAATGAAAAGTCTTGAATGTTTTGCAACAAATAACGTCTCGCCATATGACGCTCAAGGAATCTGATACCTATTATGTTCGGTAACTTGCATCTATATAAGAATATAACCCTACTAAAATCAACGAAAAATATTGAAAAATGTAAAAGTTGAAAAAATTGACTTTTTTAATTCGCTTCCGGTAGCGACCGGAAGTATTCACGACGCACGAAAAGGCAAACCCGCACATCTAGGAATCATGTTCAATGCTCTCCAACAATTCTCCAATTCATATCTTTAGCCGTTCTTTAGATCTCGAGCGGATAAAATTTCATTTCAAAATCAGAAAATGTCCATAACTGGGAACCGGAAGCGAATTTCTCCAAAACTCTTTCAAATGTATCAATGGCATTTTAAAGCGCATTATACCTGGAAGTTTGATGAAAAACCACTGAATAGTTCTCGAGATATTGCGTGCACAAAATTTGTCTAAATAATAATAATAAGAAGAAGAAACAGTAGAATCACTATAAGGTCTTCCGTGAAGACGGAAGACCTTAATAATAATAATAATAATAATAACTAGAAACTCATTGCGAGCAATGAGAGGTCTTCCGTCCGATTCTGGAAAAAAAAAAACAACGAAGATTCAAGCTGAAAAAGTGATAAAAGAAATTCAGACACTCTGGAGATTTAACCCTGGTCGTCAGCGTAAAAATCCAACGTGCTAACCATTAACCATTCACTTTTTTGCATCACTTCCTGTCACGATCGGAAGTAACGGCGATACAAGATTTTGTCACGATTCAAATAAACTGATGACTGACTATCAGTCCTGAAAGTTTTAAACTTCAGTCCTTTATTGTTGCCGAGCAATATTGTGAGAACAAATTCTAATTTTGAGCACAGGTAAACACGGGACCGGAAGTGAATTTTATAAAAATCTCTGACATTTCTCTAGACATTTGCAGCATCTACAACATACATAAAATTATTTCAAGTACTTTATCGATAAGAAATATTTATGAGAAAGTTAAATATCAAAATAACGTAGTTTATCTCCTAAAACCGGAAGTTGGCGTTTTTGTTTCCGGTGGAATCAAACGTATTTCAAAACAGTGAAAGAGATGCAATGAAGTTATGCAAGTTTTAATTTAAAAAAAGAAAAGTTAAAATTTTTGATTTCTTTGATCACTTCCTGTAGCAAGCAGAACTTATTACTCATAAAAACTTGGTGTTTTAATCTTTTACCAGTTTTTGAGATCTCGAGCAGAAATCTTCTCATTTTAAGGACAGGAAAACATGCGACCGGAAGTGAACTTTTGAAAGATATTTAAGTTTACTCTCGACATTTGCAGTCTGAATAACATATTTAAAATTCATTTCAAAAACTTTATCTATAAAGAATATTTATGGGAAGGTAAAATACTCAAATGATGTAGTTTTTCTCTTATAACCGGAAGTTGTCGTTTTTGTTTCCAGTGGGACGAACATCTTTCGAATCTGCGAAAAAGTTGCAATAAAGTGATGCAATTTTTAATTAAAAAAAGAAAAGTTGAAATATTTTATTTCTTTGATCACTTCCTGTGACGACCGGAAGTGACGGCTGACGCTCTGAACCCAAATATTTTTGCTTAGATCTTAAGGTCTGTTGCTCATATAAGTTTGGTGTCTTAATCTCTAACCGTTTCCGAGATCTTGCTCAGACAATTTCTCATTTTGAGGACAGAAAAGTGAATTTTACAAAGATATTTGACCTTACTCTAGACATTT